AATTGCCAATCGATATCGTTCACCTTATATTGTTTCCCCTTCTATTATATTTCATTTGTATTTCACCATTTTTAACCCTATGTTGGCTGATTACTAGAGGTAATCAGCCAATATAGCAGACAGAGGAGTAAGATAAGGAGGGTTGACCTATTTCAGACACTTAAAAAAGATCAGTGGTGCAATAGTGAAATGTTTCCTTTCTAGACACCATGAACTTTCATCCTGTCCTTTTATGGACATCCTGGGCGCAAAACTATATATAACCTTTTAAACTTTGTGTGGTTGCAAGCTCTTGAGGGAAAATGCATTTTCTATATTGTTATATCTGCAAGGTACAGATATCTGTTTGAAAGTGTCTAATCTGACACGCGGACAATATTGCCAAGTGCTGTTCTTCAAGTACATAATTGTAAACTTATCTGGCCTCCCCTAAGACCATCATATTATTGTTTGGGAATAGGTACCGTTCCATCCTCCCTCTTCCTCTTCCTCTATAATTAGGTAGACCCAGTTCACTCTACTTGGATATATTAAGTATTTCACACATCTTGTATGCCCTCCTTCCCCCAGACTTTACATGAAGTAGATCCTTCCCCTAATGTAACAAGTTGCAAACTGGTTTTGAAACTTCATAGTATTGTAAAAATGATTTGCAATGATGAAAGGAAAGAATGCTCTAGTTCCTTGTATGGAAAAAGCCTTTTTTCATGGAGACTGAGCGGTTCAATTTCTGGATGCTGCTATTAGTTGTAGAGCTGGGTGATGCCCTCTTTCTCATTAAAAGAAGTATAAAATGATAGGCATAAAAAACCTGACTGGAAAAGTTTGCATTTCTTCTGATACTCCTAGGAAAAATCTTACTGGCTATCTTTCCCCAGGGTCAAAACCTTTAAAACTAAGTAAAAATGATTTTTTTTTTGGTTACACAGATTCTTCCTCTGAGCACACGATCCATAAGTTAAACTCTGTGGAAATGTTTTACTTAATTCTTGCAGATGCCACTTCTTACATATTAAGCTCTGCATTCATTCCCAAGACAAACAGATGGTCAGCAAAACCAATTAACCTTTCTCCCTCTGTCTTTCAGACTCACAGCGTCTTCAAAGCCCACAGACAAATGAGCAGATACTATCAGGAGATTTCATGTCAAAGCATGATGAATAGGAAAGACTTGGCCGACGTACTTTGAACTTGCTCAAGTGGACCTCCTGGCCATAAATGTGGAACACCTGAAGGTGAGGTCTTATAATTTGACAGAAACAGGTAACCAGGAAAAAAAAGCACTGGAACAAATGATTAATGTTTGCGTTTTCCCCATCTTCATCCCAAGAGAGAATATTTGATAGACTTATTTATTTTAACGAAGACATGCCCAAAGAGGAGAGACTATTGCTTCTCAGAACAATAAGATAAAAATAAACTGTAGCTACACATTTACAGGAGAGGGTTGATGAAATAATTTTTAAATGCTCTTTTTTACTTGAATTTTTGGGGAATGTATGAATATTTATGTTATGCTACCAAGCGGGCACCAAATTCATCTACTTGCTTTCGTTTTCCACCATTGATGTACTTGTATAATTTTGTATAACAACTCCACATCCCCAGATCAAAGTCTTTGGAGAGTAGCTCAATTTTCCCCAACTTCACCCT